CCTGTTATGTGAAGACTGGCTGTGCACTGCCACTGTGGTTTCCAGCCCTGTTGCTGCAGGGAGTGTGGTCTAGTTCTGATCTCTTCTTCCTGCTGCTGCTGGAAAGTCGGGGAGTGAGGGGGGGAAGGGAGGAGGGGGTGGGGTGCAGCTGCAAGGCCTGCAGGGAGTGTGTGTGCAGGTGGGAACAGTACAGAGCAGGGAATGAGTGAACTGTTTTAAAAGTCAGTACCTAACTTTGGTCCTGTATATGCTTAGTGTTATAACACTGCCTTGTATTGCTATTTTCCTATCACAAGCTTTGATTCTGGTTACGTCAAAATTGATAGGATCAGGCTAGTAGTGTAAGCATAAAAACGTTGACACCGAGTGTGCATGCAGGCTTTTGTAGTTTTGAGCGACTTAACAGGTAAGCGTCAAGAGCCCAGCGGTGTTTTCGAAGTTCACAAAACGTAAATTTGCTGTGATTAATACTTTGATTTGTGCCCTCTAAATAATGTTAATGACAAAAATAATTCTGCATTTAAAATGGGCAAGGTGACAATAAGCATTTCCTTTATTCAGAAAGGTATTCAGATACATTTAACTGTCTGTGCTGTATGTCCAAAGTTAGGCCCACAGTGGAAGAAAATATCTGATTCATGTTTGGCAAAAGGATGCTTTGCACTATTGATATTCCAGAGACCTAAACTGGTCAATCTGTTTGAAGGTGCAGCAAGCTGCTGTTTCAGCCACTAACAAAATTATCGGTTTCTGTAATCTTGGGAGGGGGTGTGTGTGTGTGTGTATTCATTTAAAGTGAATTCTGTGGTAGGTCAGACTGTCAGCTTATTTAACTTGGACCACAGGTTACTTCCACCCTCAAGCAAGGAGAATAAACCATATCAACTAAAAACATTTTCAGAGGAATCTAGCTCAAAGGAGAGTGTGAAATGACCTGAAACATTAATGAAAAGGCAATAGTTAATGCCTGAAAATTAAATGCTGAAGCATATTCCATTTTTCAGCGTGCATGTAGCTGAGCTGATACTACTTCTGGAAGTAGTCACTGCTCTGGATGGTTGCATCCGGAGCGTGCTGGTCAATGGCTTGATGTCCAGATGGAAGAAGGTGATGAGTGGTGTCCCTCAGGGCTCTGTGCTAGGACCAGTGTTGTTTAATATCTTCATTAATGGTATTGACAGTGGCACTGAGTGCACCCTCAGCAAGTCTGCAGATGATACCAAGGTGGGAGGTGCAGTTGATGTGCCAGAGGGTTGTGTGACCACCCAGAGGGACCTGGACAGGCTGGAGAGGTGGGCCCAGATGAGCATCATGAGGTTCAACAAGACCACGTGCAGGGTCCTGCAGGGATAACCAGCCCTATTAGGGTTAGGGTTAAAAACGGGACATGAGCCGCCAGTGCACAGTGGCAGGCCAGAAGCCAATCCCAGCCCGGGGCGTC